AAAAAAAACTGTGTAGTTAACTAGTTTGAAGTACATTGATTCGTACCACTATTACCGAATGCCGAATGGATCTCCAAATGCAGGAAATGAACTATGTCCACAAGCTTCTCCATCACCTTAAAATAATTCAAAATTGATAGCTGATCATCTTCTCGCTCGGAATAAATCATATACATTTCATGAATAATCAAGAAAACTACCTTTGAAATTCAGCTGAAATCATTAATAATATATGTATATCATCTATATATGAAGTTACGCCCATTATCTTTCAAAGGTTAGTATTTCTTAACAAGTATCCCTTTGTTCTGAATGCTTATAAAATATTAAAGAGGATATTTGTTCAAGATAAATGGGTTATGATTAAAATTCTATTATATATGTGTAAATAAGTTGTGTGAGTGTTGTATATCTATATTAAGCAACTACAAACACATAAATTACGTAAGAAGAGGGACTTAAATTACTATTACTACCTCCTCCAAGACCTTAGACCACAATGACTTTTTCTTCAAACTCTTTACATGTTTCTTTTGGCTTTTCAGCTCTGCACGTAAAATTGCGAGGCTTTCTCCTTCGGGGGACGAGCAAGGAAAAATTAGTAATAGAAACAATCACGGCATACAAATGAACAAAATCATACTAAAAGCAAGCTGCCAAATTATCATAAAATGATAAAATAGAGAGGATGATGTATTAGCTTTATCAAAAATGTTATGAATTTAGGTGAAAGAGGAGGAGAAAAAAAAAAAGAATAATATTCGCTATACGTACACAAAGACGAGTCCGCCAGTCGATAAAAGCCTTTAAAAGTCCAATAGCAACAACTAATCGAGCAGTAACGAATCCAGTCAAGAAAGTAACGAATCGAGCAGAAGGATTATTAATCAAGAGGTTTTTCCCACATTTTCCACCAATTTATACCCATATTAATTCAACGAAATCTTTTGTTTGATGTGGACAATTTCATCACATGTTACAAAGTTAAACCATAATATCTAAAGGCTTTTGGCATGCGAACAGAATTCTCCTAGTTACAGATCATATTAA